CAACACATTCTATTTCACAAACCAAACAAAAAAAGGATGAGCTTCTAAAAACATCAAAACAAGGAGGAGTTGGAAGTTTATATATTGACCGAATAGCAAAGGGATGAAAAAAATCATGTAGAACAAGCAATTTGTTTTATACAAGTAATCATTACTTAAATGTCTAAAAGTAATTTTGGCATGGACAAAATGTATCCCTAATCTTTTAAGATCAAATCACAAGTTTTTTTTGAGAATAGATCAATTCCCAAAGTTCATTTAAAGTCGTATATACAAACACAACTCATGCCTTGCTTCAGGCCAAAAAGGGGCCCAAGTAACATCATCTGGCCGTTGTGCCATGTGTTCAAGGCTAGGGTGTACAAAATCTCGTTCAATCTTGAGGGATATGTCCAAGCTGATAATTCAACTGACGGTGATTCTGGAGGTGTTGAGGAATTAGAGGAAGATCACTTATTGGATGATGATGATCCTAATGACAATCCCAAAGAGAATGATGATGACCCAAAGAAGGACAAGGACCATGAACCACAAGAGAGGGAGTTACCTGAACCGTCAGATAAACCACAGGGAGGTGATAGCTCTTCTACGGGTGGCAAATTGGCCAAAACATCGATGTTGTTTGAGGATGATAGTTTCCCAACTCAGTAGGATGCCATAGCAAATGATTGTGCAAATATGCTTGGAGCCATGGAATTAGAAGTGGAGGAAGCTGATGATGAAGTTCTAGATGATGAAAGTTCCTTGATGCTACAAGATGACAATGAGAAAATCCAGTTACCAGACGAGTGGATATATGATCTGCAAGCAAAGAACCAAAGTGTCGGTGTTTCGTACAAGCACTGGCAAGTAAATTTATAGTAATGCGCATTAGGCTTGGATGGTGCGCCAAAGGACACAATATTTATCTTGGTTCGGGCCGAATATCCCTACGCCCAGCTTTGTTGCAACTCGTGTTATTAGCACCGTGAATGGTTCGTAGTAGGGGATACAAACGATCGAGAGAGGGACATGTCCTCAGTCTCTGATAGAAGGGTCGAAAGGAAGCCAAGAGCTTGGTAGCAGCTTGACTATGTGTGCGTGTTGCGTTGTTTTTCGTCCCCCTTTTGCTGGAGGAAGCGCATCCCCTTTTATAGATGAAGGGGACGACTTTACAAGGGTCAGGGCTTAGGATGCGTGCTCTACCTAGCCTTGTGGCTCACGTCTACCCAGCCTCGTTACCCATTCTGATGGGTGTGAAAGGATGATAAGCGCCTACAATACTGTCGATGCCTCTGTAGAATGTCAGGATGGTTACAGAATAGTGCCCTATGCAGGGTATGGGCTGTAGTACCGTGGTTTTGACTTATGAACCTCGCCCAACCTTGCTCAGCACGCCTTCTGGCTCCTATGAGTCTCTGTCGGAGGGACACAGAGTTGAGGTCTGGAGTAGCACTGTGGGCAAGGTCCTTTGATTTGGTGGACCCGAGGGGTCAGGAAGCGGGCGCCGCTCCCTTGGGTCCATAACATGGTGACGGCATGTCCATCATTCGTGGAGATCACAAATCCTTTTATAGAGTGTAGTGGTTGTCGTGTATCTTCATCGGGTTCCGTGTCCTAGAGCTGAAGGCGGCGCCTACAACTCTACAGGGCGAGGAGTATGCACCTGCAATACCTTTCGGGCTCTGTGGCGCTCGGAAGGGTTTAAAGCACCTGTCCAATCATTCCCTGGCAGTACCTTTCATGCCAGGGCGCAGGGTATGGTCCTTGAAGCCGTGGTTGACCCAAATGTCTTGTCTTGCTCTGTACCCATCATCATGAGGGAACGGGAGAGAAGTTATCAGGTAAGATGAAACCAGTCTTTGGACATCGAATGGGGTGAGGTTCATCCTTGGTCATCGGGCGAGGCAGAGCCCAGTCCTTATCCCCTGGGCGTGACCGAGCCCACCCCTCGGGGGTCGGGCGAGGCGGAGTGTATCCCTCAACCCTCGGACGAGGCGGAGACTAGCCTTCAGCCCTCGGGCGAGGCGGAGCTGTCCCAAGGCGCCGGGCGGGCGGAGGCTAGCCCTTGCCCTCGGTGTGACCGAGCCACCCCTCGGGGGTCGGGCGAGGCGGAGTGTATCCCTCAACCCTCGGGCGAGGCGGAGACTAGCCTTCAGCCCTCGGGAGGCGGAGCTGTCCCGAAGGTGTCGGGCGGAACGGAGGCCAGCCCTTTGCCCTCGGGCGAGGCGGGGCTGGCCCAAAGGCATTGGGCGAGACGGAACCTAACTTTTGTCATTCGGGCAAGGAACGCAGTGGCGCCCTTGTCCGTCCTGAAGTTTTTAACGTTCGATGGTTATTGGTTCCACCTTCTGGGGTACCCTGGTATTAGGTCCCCGACAGTAGCCCCCGAGCCTCCAGGTGATTCGGATAGAACCGCCTAGAGGGTGTTTTCGATTTCGTTGGAGTCATTTTGCCAGAGGATGCGCCATGAAAGCATTTCCTATGGGCGTAAGCCCTTGAGCCTCCGTGTGATTCAGATAGAACCGCTTTGGGGTTGTATCGGACCCTTCGCGGGTAAGGCTGAAGGACTTAGTTTTTCGTCAAATGGATATTTTTTCGAGGGGGTCGTGGTATCCTGTTCGCGGGGATCTCATTCAGGGCTGACCTAACTGGGGTTTGACCGTGGATTGAGACCCCAGTAATGCTTGCGCCCTTGATTTCGGATCGTTCGTGGACCCGTCCTCAGTTGGGCCGGCCGCCAAGCTTCTGGGCCCTAGGTGGGCCAAATAGAAAAAATCTTTGTGACCTGCCTTCCCCAGGTGGGAAGAGAGTCCGGATTCGCTTGGGGAAGGCGAACCGTCCATCGTGATTTTCGGTGGGAAAGGATAGGGACTACGGGCGCGTGTCCCGTGACGTGACGCGGCGGTGCGCGTGGCAGGCCCGGAGATCGAGGCGGACAGTTGCCCTTCTCGCGCCCGTCGCCCCTATAAAACCACGGGGTTTGCCCCCAAGGTTCCGTATTTCGCCCCCTTGCCTTTGCGTCTGAGACATCCATCGCCAATCGCCCCAGCCTCCTGCGCTCGCACCACCACCGTCGATCGGCTTGCATCCATGTTGCAGCTACCATCAAGCTTGCGCCTGTCCTGTAGCCGCCGTCGATCTTGTGCCCACCTTCTCCCCAATCGCTTTAATGGAGTTGTGGGGCAGATCTAGCATCACCTCTTGGCGTTTGGAGGGCCTCGTCTGCCGTGGCCTTCTCCGTCCATTGTCCGCCGTCCAGGAGTGGCTGATACCTGGTGACGAGGGTGAGCCGGCGCCGCCCGAAGGGTATGTCGTATCTTTCGCCATCTTTCATGAGCGGGGATTTGCGGTACCCGCGCATAGATTCCTTCGGGGGCTGCTGGATTACTATGAGGTGGAGCTGCAGCATCTTACTCCCAACAGGGTTCAACATATGGCGGCGTTTGTTGCCCTGTGTGAGGGTTTCCTGGGGATCGATCCCCATTTTGATCTGTGGCGGTATTTCTTTACCGTTAGTTTGTCGAAGAGGAAGATTGGGGGGAAGGATGTGAGCGTGCCGATGGGATGCGCCAGTATTCATCTGCGCCATACCCGGTCGAGGGGTTACCCGTTCATGCATCTGGTGACGTCTAACAAGGGATGGCACTCGCAGTGGTTTTATATCAGGGATGATGCGAGTGCCACCCTGCCGAGGTACCCCGGGTGCCTTATCAAAGAGGCTCCGGAGTCGTGGGCTTGGGGCATCCAGTCCAAAGACAAGAAACACCTTTCCGACCTTCTTTTCGCCCTCCAAGCTCACGGAACGGGCGTAAAGGGGACGGGAATTATCGATGCCTATCATGCGAGGAGGGTGGTGCTGCTGATGATGCGCACGCTTCCCCTACACCGGATGATGCCCGAGATATCGTTCGAGGGGACGGTGCTTGTTGACGAGGCGCTCCCTTTCTCGCAAGTGGCGCAGCGCATTAAGGTGGCAACGGAGCCGACGAAGGATTCCAAAGGCGGCGTCCTCGACATTGTGTATCCGGTGCCCGAACATCCCCAATGCGGCCGGAACCTGGGTTCTTCGAATTCATAAGCCTTCTTCTCCCGTGCTCTTTCTTTTTCCTGAATCTCCATTTTTTTTGATACTTGCTTTTGCGACGTTGGGACCAGCCGGGGGGGCTAGTCTTCAAAGATAGTCCGGTTCTGCTGCCAAAGGACAAGGCCGTGGCGGCGGCGAATCGCTTCGTGGCTGAGCGGGACAAGAAGGCAAGGGAGCAGATGAAGAAGGAGAGATGACTGAAGCAGGAAGCACGGGATCGGGGAGAGGACGTGAGCAGTGATGATGACTGTTGCGGAAATGCCGCTCCCGGCGTTCCTGGCGGCGGCGGCGAGGCTCGCCGTCCTGGTGGCGCTGCCGTGACGGGCGCCAACTTGCCTCCTTCAGGGTACCGGCGCGGCACCTCCGCCACATCCCCAACCCCATCGACGAGTCCGCCGACCCCATCGCCGACTTCGCGCCCTCCCTCCAACTCCGCCGCCGCCGCCCGCCGCCGAGGAGGCCGCAGGTCCTGCTCCCTCTCCCCCTCTCGAACCCTATATCCGCCTTTGTACTTGTTTCGACTGCTTGGGTCCAATGGTTCTGGGTATCGTTCTGAACGGCCGCATTGGTGCTGTTCTGCGGTTGTCAGTTTTGGTTTTCAGGCAACACAACTGACTCGTTTATACAGTATATATGGTAATTTGTTGTGGAATTGGTTACGTTTTCTAATCTAAGACGAGTAATTGATAACTGATGATGTGAATTAATCAAAGAATCAAAGAAACTAACTAAAACATGGAGGTTTGATGTGAAATTGTGGGTGCAGAGTACTGTATCCCTGCATCAGATTCAATTTTAATCAGTACATCATTGTTAGTCTGCACAAGTCAGAGTATTTGCTTCATAGATTTGAAATTCCGACCTATAGACACCTGATTATTGTGAAGCAGTTAATAGATACCTGATTATTGGAAAGCAGTCAATTCCAAGCGACATGGAAGTCCTGATGGTGTGTCTGGTTCTTCGCAGAAGATGGCAATTTCTTCTTTGGGCTAGCGACCGCGCTGGCGCATGTCGAGGACAGGTTGGAAGATGCTTGGCTTCAGTTTGCAGTCGAGCATTCCTGCGATGACAAGGAGGCCATGTGTGACCATAAGACAGCAGACGCGGTGATGGCATCGGCTGCAGGGGACGGAGGCGCTCAGTTGGCTTCTAGGTCGAGGGGACGAAAAGGCTGGCGATGGAGAGAAGAGGAAGCCTCTTAAGGTTGCCATGGAGGCGATGCTCAGGGGGTTTGAAATGTTTGTCGAGGGTGGTGAATCTGGTTCTGGCGATAATTGCAGCCACAACGTCGCAGCTTGGCACAATGTTCCTTGCCCGTAAGTGCATTTTGTCTTTTCTCACTTCCAACTTTTTCGTTATGTGCTAATATTCTAGATGCTGTCTTTTTTCCTGAACAGTATTGTGCATAATGTGTTGCTTACACACAATGGACTCTCACATGTGGGCAAACTGTACCGATTTGTTCAGGCAAGAAAGGCTTAAATTTTGGTCTGATCCCGATACTGAGTTGAAACTTGCTAAGGAAACTGGGATCAGTGTTTTCCGCCTGGGGATTGATTGGACAAGGGTAATGCCTAAGGAACCAACTGAAGAGTTGAAGAGTTCAGTAAGTCTTAGGAACCTAGTCTGCACTTCATGTGCTTTCTCTGAACACCTATACTCTTTCTTCTCTGTGTAGTGTGTTGTACTCTCTGCAATGGTGGAATAAGACAGCCATCACCTTTTCTAGGTCAATTTCGCAGCACTTGAGCGGTATAGATGGATCATTCAAAGGCTTCATGAATATGGAATGAAAGTGATGCTTACGCTATTTCACCACTCACTTCCACCTTGGGCTGGAGAGTATGGGGGGTGGAGGATGGAAAAAACCGTGAAGTACTTTATGGATTTTGTGCGGTAATCCTTTCTAGCAGTCAAAACTGGCTGTCAGTACTCTTCCATTACATGAATCTGTTCAAATAAAGTTAGTTTTGGCTGTGCAGGCTTGTTGTTGATCGTGTATCTGATTTGGTGGACTACTGGGTGGTTTTTAATGAACCTCATGTGTTTGTAATGCTGACCTATTGTGCTGGTGCTTGGCCTGGTGGAGACCCTAATGCAATTGAAGTAGCAACATCTGCTTTACCGACTGGTGTATATAACCAAGCATTACATTGGATGGCCATTGCACATGCAGAAGCCTATGACTACATACATTCAGAAAGTGCGTTAAAAAAAAACATACATTCAGAAAGGTATATAATATGTTACTTGAAATGCAATTTCTCATGAATTTCCACAATTCTGAGTTGAACTCTTTGGTGGTGTTTTACAGCAAAAGTAAAAGGAAGCCAATCGTTGGTGTCGCTCATCATGTATCGTTTACACGGCCCTATGGTCTATTTGATGTTGCTGCTGTCACACTGGCTAATTCATTGACCCTTTTCCCTTACATTGATAGCATATGTGATAAATTGGATTTTATTGGCATCAACTACTATGGGCAGGTAAATTAAATACTAGCTGCTTAGATAAATGATCTGAACATGTAAACAACAGGAGTTGATTACTCCATTTTCATGCAGGAGGTGATATCAGGCCCTGGTCTAAAGCTTGTGGACAATGATTAGTACAGTGAATCTGGTCGTGGTGTTTATCCTGATGGGCTGTTTCGTATCCTGATTCAGTTTAATGAACGATACAAGAGCTTGAATATACCTTTTATAATTACTGAAAATGGAGTTTCTGACGAGACTGATCTGATTCGGAAACCATATATTCTGGAGCACCTGTTAGCCATTTATGCTGCAATCATTATGGTCCGGTCTTAAATTAATTTGTAATGAAACATTCCTTACTGTCATGTATCTGTAACTTCCAGCACTGATAGACATTGTTTTGAAGGGTGTGCCTGTGCTTGGTTATCTATTCTGGACGATGTCAGATAATTGGGAATGGGCAGATGGCTATGGTCCCAAGTTTGGGCTTGTAGCTGTTGGTCGTGCTAATAACCTAGCACGGAAACCTAGGCCTTCATACTATTTATTCTCCAAGGTTATCCCTGATCTCAGCAAATTATTATACAGTATCCTGTGTACACATTGTCCGCAAAAGTATAAAACAAATTTGTAATGTTTGTGCATTTTGTTTCTTGGGTCCCTTGTTTTGCATAAATTGTGCAGACTTGTGATAATTTAATTTCTCTCTCTTTTTTTTTTCCGTATGAGCATTTGGTGTTTCTCTGATGATCTTAACAAAATGCACTTGAACTTCAGGTTGTTAGAACTGGGAAAATTACAAGACAGGACAGGCTGGGTGCTTGGAGGGAGCTGCAACAAGCAGCATTTCAGAAGAAAACACGCCCATTTTTCAGGGCTGTAGATAAACATGGTCGGATGTATGCAGGTATGTGCTGATTCTTCCCGAAACATTCTGTTATATTATTAAATTGACATTATTCATGGGTAATGGCTTGTTTCTCTTAAAACAACTTGATAAGTAGGATAAACAAAAACTATTGACATATTGTAAAATATGCCAATGGCTACTGCCTTCAGGCTTCTTGGAGTCGAGAGTGTCGCTCCATGTTAGTTTTTCTTATATTGAATTCATACCACAACTCCTTCAGTTGAGTTACATAATTTTTTTTGATACAGTTGAGTTACATAATTACCAAAGGGCATATAGAGAGACAAAAAACCTAGCTGAAATAGAAATTTTAGTTGGTATAAACTGTGGTTGCTGTCTCCACCTAAGAAAAATGAGCCTTTTGTTCTTCAGGGGGTTTAGATCGGCCTATCCAGAGATCATTCATATTGCGGGATTGGCGATTTGGTCATTATGAAATGGAAGGCTTGCAGGATCCTTTCAGTCACTTTATAAGATCCATTTTTTCACCAATTTTGCGCAAGAAGAAGATTCATTACATTGAGTATGAGGATATTTCTTATGCTATTTCTCCCTGATGCTTGTTACTCTAGTTGGTGAGTCGAGAGAATTTCAGAATCTGATTTTTGATTTTTCCCTTTCACCATATATCATCTATCTAAAATTGCTTGCTCTTGTTTCTGTAGGTAAGTAGCATGATTTGTCCTCTAGATAAAGTAAATAAAAAGTTCTGTGAAGCAGAAGTTTCTCTTTTTTGTGGATAAATTGCAATGTGCACTATTTATCATGGCAGTAAGTATCTTATATATACCTTTCTTTTATTTTATTATTATCTCCTCTGGAATTATTTGCATGTTAAATTCTTCATTTGACTGAAGATTTGGCTGTTTTAGCATCATGTGGACCCATATCCTACTAAATTTTGTTTTACCAACTCAAAATATCTACATCTGCTAAGACCCATGTCTTGCACTTCTTAATGGAAGATGCCTTATGGAGAAATGTCTGACTGACCATGTGGGCAACAAAGACATTGTTGTCTAATCCTCTGTGATTCATTAACGTCTTTGTGAATATACACATTCAAGTCATGTGAGTTAATGGCTGCTATTTCTGGTCTAAATCCCTGCATCCATCACATGATCAGACGTACTATCATTATAGGAGTTTCAAACTAACTCTGACACTATTTTTCCAAGTAATCCCCTGTATAAGTATATCCACCATGCATCAGTCATGCATGAGTTATCTTCCCACATTTATAATTTTTATTATCCATTATATATCATTGACCATAGTCTCCATAAAGAAATGAAATTTTATCATAAAGTAAGCTGGCTTGGTCACAGTTAGGATATTTACCAATGCCATTATGAGGTGAGTGGCATACAAATGATTTAACTGGGGTGCGAAGGTTTTTGAGTAAAAATTGAGATAAAACCTGTCAGCAGAAGGTACAATGATAGCCAATTATTCTCGTTAAGTGAAGTTGACACATGTAGCCATGCAGGGGCTATTTGGTTCTGTAATTGAATTCGTCCTTAACGGGGTGGGTGTAGGATGGGAGATGGTCTGGTTTCATAGTACTTTGATGCACAAAGCGATTATGCCTAACAGTGTTGGCCAATTTTAAGAATTCGGTGCGATCAATGCAGATCTATCCTCTACAAGCTCATGGTTTCAAGTGCTCCTCCCGTCCTCAAAATTTAGTACCGCCATATCTTATTGTAACAGTTCTGGTCCTTACCTGACTTTGGGAACTTCTCTAAAGGCCGTGTATGTCTTCTATGAAGGAACCAGTCCACTAACTTCTGTATGTAGGCTACATTACATAGTACAGGACAACTACATTTGTGGTATGTGCATATCCTGATATCAACTGATAGGGTTGGTCATGCACTCTGCTGTAACTACCCCCTCCGTCCGTGTAAAAGGATGCAATTTCAGTGGGATCCGTAGTAAAAGATTTTTTTTTGGAAAAAATATAGTAAAGATTCCTTCGGGCTATGATTTTCTTTGTAACTTTTTTTTGTCTCGTAATGCCTGTTGTAAACACTTTCTTTCATTAATAAAAGCACAGTAGGGGCTTGCACCCTCCTGTTTTTCCTCAAAAAAAAAAAAAAAAAAGATTCCTTCGAGCTAGTTCCTATCCACGAATCCTCTGGTCTTCTCCCCCCGTGCGATCCTCCTCAGGCTCCACCGCCACAACCCCCCGCGCCGCTGGAAGGCTGCTTGCACAAGCTTCTGGGCGGAGGGGCCGAGCTCGCCCATGCCACGCACCACCCGTGGTGGCTGAGTACCACTGGCCGGCTTTGACATGAATGGGCCTGAATCTGGTGCAGGGTGGTTGATCACAGACATAGGTATATTGGTAATTTCACATATTCCTAGTCTCTCCACGGGAACGAGACGAAGGAGTACATCCTTTTGAAGCTGAACTACTGGACATGTTAATCATTGATCTCTTGGTGCTAAACAATCTTATACCGAGTCTTAGCAATAACATATATTGAGTTTCCTTGTCATCAAGGTTGTTCGGTCTTGATTTTTGTGGTATGGTCTCACAGCCCTACTGTCTATTGGACCACTTTGATCCTAACCCTAGTTTGATCTCGCTCCCTCAATCCATAAAAGCATATCATTTGGTTTTTGGGCATCAGCATGGGCTCCAAAATGCAGCATCTATATTTAGTACATCTTTAAATCATAGTAAGTCATTAGTATTATAAAAGTATTTCGGAAGGCAAACTTGCATGTATCCAAAAATGACATTTTGTAGTGGGAAAACCTCATAATATAGAAGCCAACGAATTGTACTTTGAATAATCATGATTTTGTTGATCATCCCATGGTCTGATGATACAGTCCTAGGATCTTGATTCTATAAACAGGAAAACGTCCTAGGATCCTGATTCTATAAACAGGAAAATGGTCCCTACCACCTTACTTGATGGTTTGTATAGCTAGCTAACCTTGACTGTCTCGTATTTTAATCTCGTGGGTAAAACTTTCATCTTCCACTTGTGCACCTGCTAAAGTCTATTATTGCAACAACAACAAATGGTTGCAAAGACCATTTATAGATCATAATTACAAGTCATGCAAATATTATTTTCCCTTTTATAGATTAGACTTTTTGTTCCTTCTTATTCACATGCCTTTTCATGTCTTTTTTTTTGTGAAGTAAAGATGGAAAATAAAAAATACATAACACTTCATAGTATTGTGTCGTCTGAAAATATGATGAAAAATATGACAGGAAAGCATCATGTAATGGTATTTTCTCTGAAAAGATATTAGTAATATAGAGGTATATCTCCAAAGGTGTTATTTTATTCGTATAGTACATGGAAAAGTAATCATGCGGTGATATTTTCTCTGCAAAGAGAAAAAAAGGAAACATCTCATAGAAGTCCACAACATGCTTCATATTAGTAATATAGAGCTACATAGTACATGAAAGGAAGTTCGGAGGTTGCCTTACAGGACATTAGATGCCAGGGCAATCATACAACTGCAGTATATAGGAAGAACTTTGGGTTATCACTTTCGAAGTACATAGACAGACAATAAAGCACTAGTTCAATCATTATTTAAATATGTAGGATTAAGGGCTGATGATGACTGTTAAATCCAAATACCAGTGGTGGATGCAGAAGGCTCAGTTGTTTTTAACAACTCGTGGAGCTCTCTCCATGAGGACCACTGGTTTCTGGTGCAGCACAGTTCATCTTCACATTCTCCTTCACTGGGACATGGAAAGCTGATGCAGGGAAGGTTTTGGTAATCCCAGCAATGCTCTTGCAGATAAGCTTCCCAGTTGCTGGATCATCAAGAGCAATCTCCTCCACTGGGACCCACACCATGAGCTCCCTGGTCTTTATCCCTTTTACCTTCTTGATCCTGCCCTTCTCAGCATAGCCGGTGATCTCTGTGCCATAAGAGACCAGCCTTCCTAGACTCTGGAAGGTGTGGTCAACCCTCTTGCTTTGCTTGAGCCACACATATCCAGTTTCCTGGACATAACCACACTCAATTAGGTCCTTCAATGGAAGCAGACCATTGGGGAGGCCTGCTTCCCTGAGCAAGAGCTGGGTACACAGTTGGCAGATCTCGTCGCCGTAGTAGACCTCAGCCTTGGTCTTGAGTTCATCGGCTATAAGAGCCATGTTCTATGGGCTATATCTCTTTTCTCCCACTCTCACCTTTCTTTTTCTTTGCTCTGATCACGTTTTGAGGCTTTGCTGTGTGATATGATTCTGCAGTGCATGTCTGGCTTTATATAGGAAATGCCTTATAAAATTGTGCTTCAACATGTTAGGAATTTTCCATCTTGCCATTGTCTATGAAGGACATATAACATATAATAATGGTCATAAAACCTGTAGGGTCCTCTTCTCAGGTTTAATGTTGAAGCAGTGTAAAATATCTTGTGTGTAGAGTACAAGATGGCCCAACTGGAGTTATGTCATGTGACCACCGGTTGAGACTTGGAGTCTACCCACCGGTCATGGTAGTTCACACTATTTAGTTTTGATTCATTTTTTCTATCTCGCCCTCTCGGTACAAATAAATGGTCCAAACTCTTGTATATAGTTGAGCAATTGGAGAGTATGCATGGATAGTTGAACAGGTAGAAATGTATGTAAGTCACTAGTGTTGGTTTCTGACATAGAAAAGTTGCCTCAGGTGAGATCAGAGTTCTACTAGTGCCCCTGCTGTCTCTGTTTTGCTGGACATCCTTGAAAAATTATCTTTGAAGAATGTGTATTGTATGAGCTATTTTGTTTGATCGGTATTGTGTGAGCTATTTGAGTGAGAGGAGAGTGTTATAGATTGGCTTATAAGAATGTATACTTCCTCCGTTCCGACCTCCAAATTATAACATTCCAACTTTTTTGAAGAGTCAAAATTACAGAGAGAATTACAAAGATTTATGATAACAAATAGGTATACTACGAAAAATATAATTAATGAAGAATTAAATGTTATTATTTTATTATATAAATTTGGTCAAACTTGAGATGTTTTGACTCTATAAGAAAATTGGAGTGGCTTATAATTTGGGACGGAGGGAGTATAACCAAAAAAGATGTGGATATTGAGCTGGAGAGTAGATATTGAGCAAGAGAGTAACTTGGGTATGTTAAAACTTAAAACAAGAACATAACTTATACTAATTTCTGAATTTGGTGGTGGGGTGTAGTAATTTATTGGAACATAAAACTGTTCTGGCATGTCGTTGAGATTCGTCTGAGTGAGTTACCAAGCATGTTCTGTGAAAGTTACGAGTTACCAAACATGTGCTGAATTTATCTGGTACAGATTTATCCTGGCACCTGGGACCCTTCTGCAGCAACATCTTGATTGACACCTAAATTTGACTTACGGATCTATCTAGTACAATCTTTATTGAAGACGAAAGATTTATGAATGGAGCCTGTTAAGGATCATGTGCGAAGAAAAGAAAGCAAAAGGAGCACAGAGAAGGATCAGATTGGAGTCCGTAGTTTGTTAAGCTCCTGTATGAAGTACACGTGCAATACACGGAAGGCATCAGGATATTATACATAGAAGCAAAGAAAATGATACTTTACTTCGGCAACGTTGCACGGAAGGAAACACCAAGACAAGTCCAAGGTTGTTGACGTAGTGCATGCAACATGCATTGATCTTGGATGCAACTTTGTTTGC